ATTTTATTGCTTTCTAGACTTAGGATTTAATATTTAATTATTTTATTAGTCTCCTACTAAGATTAGATCTAGAGATAGTTGGTATCTATAAATACCCCATGTACCTCATCATATTTTATGTCGGGAATGAAGTATTGAATTGGTGAGCCAATCTTGAGGGGGAACTGATGTTCTTAACGTGTGATAAACAAGGCCGTTAGTGCGTGTTTACATACAGTGTCGGAGAGAAGGCCATTAGTGCGTCTTGAAGTCACGGTGTCTAGGAGAAGGACGCAGTGCGTCTGTTAGACACGTCTATCGTGGATAAACGAAGGCCCAGAGCGCGTTTATTCACAACCCAACGTATAGACAAAAGATCGATCCGTCATCAGCGCGCTCGCGTGCGCAGCTGTACGCACGGTATGCGTGCACGAGTGCGTGTACGCATGCATACTTGGTGCACCTTGTGTGCATTTACAACTTAACCTTGGTTTCGACTTTAAACTTAATTCCGAACATTCTTAACTATTAATAATTAATCCCAATTAATAATGTCCGTTTATAAAATAAACGGTTCGGAAATTAATTATCGATTTTAACTCGGTGAATAATTAACCGAATTGACTTTTCGACTTAACGTCGAACGTATTCGCTGAAAATGAACGGAATCAATAAAAGAAAATACATCATTTTTATTAACAAGAAGTTGTGTTATTACACTCACTCTTGAGAATTGATTGAATACACACTGACTTAAGCTTTGGAGGCTCTTCACCGGAAAACCCCTCCGGTGTGAGAGTTCTTTGTAGGTGCACGACGTTCAACCGGCGAGAAGGAAGGCGATTATTCGGGTTCCAGCCGGTCGGTCAGTTTTGTGTTACCAGATTGAAAAACCCATAGTATTTTTAAGAAAATCTTTCAAGGAAATCAAAAGATTTAATTCATAGTATTTTTAAAATATTTATTTTATAAAAGGCACACTTAAAGAAATTCAGCTAAGGAAAAATAGCATTTGTTCATCGATTTAGTTACTCTCGTCCCCGCACAAAAAATCCCCTTTTTTCTGCGTAACCCTAGGTATGGCGCCGGTGTTTTGCGCCTCTCTCGGCGTCAATTCGAGTAGCCGGTGGACTGCTCTCCGCCGAGCGTCCACGCCACTAACGCGGCACCTCTACTTTACGTCTCTTTGGCTGAGGGGTGGGAATGGAGAATTACGGTGGATTTCACAGATCTCCACTTGAAAACGCCAGAGCTCCTGGTGGAGAGGCTGGGTGGAGTGTGTCACCGGTGGTGGGACGCGGCTCAAGATGCTGCGTCGTCCTTGTCCAAGAGTGTCATTTTTCCAGCTTTTGCAGACATCCTCGTCTTCGGTGCTGTGAATTCGCAGGTTCCATCTCTGGTTCTCTGGCCGCCGGCGCTCGGGTGTGGCAGCGGGAGGGCTGGGGATTGTCTTCAGGGGTTGGGTGGGGAGCTCGAGTTCGTGCTCTGTTCTGGACGAAGCATCTCTTCTCGCCGGGCTGGGGGTTGTCTTCAGGGGTTGGACGTAGTTTATGTCGTGGTTTGACAATTAATATGTATTGCGTGTGTTAATATCCCGATGTAACATAAAAAAATATCAAAAGATTAATAATTGATAATTAACAAATTAATTAATATTTGAACAATTGTATTTCAATTGTCGCAATTGGATTGTAGTTTATGTCGTGATAGTTAATATGTATTGCATATGTTAATCTTATAGTGGGATTAAGTAGTTAATATGTTGATGTGGTTGTGGGATTATTTGATCATTATAAAATAATAGATGCATCTATTCCCGACTCAGTATATATCACAGATTCATAAAAAAAAA